ATAACTTTTTAATTTCTAATGAGGTTTCCTAAATATAAATTGTGATGTTATATTATGCACCTCCTTTGGCTCCCAACCAATTAATTTGAAGTGGTTCAAGGCCAAAGAGAAGTCTAGGATCACATTCTAGCATTCCTGGTGAAAGGCTTGTTTATGCACTTTTTTTTTTACATAAATGGTTTAGTGGTTAAGTCCAGCTTCTGTTGAAATTGATCTTATCCTTTAATTTCATGTAATACTCTAAATTAATAGAGGATCATTTAGGATAGCTACATGACCTTGTGTTACTTAGATGCTGTTTAAAATCCATTTGTATAATAGCCAAAACATTACTGTGCTTTCCTAAATCAGGTAACTTTAGCCATTTAAATGACTGTTTAATCATAAGCAGGATTAACCTGGGAAGAGATCAGTAAAAGATCAACCTCACTTTACCCCTAAAGCTGTGCTTCCTTGCCTTTAAGTATATCCCATCACTGCTGTCTCCCCAAATCCCCCTGCCAGACAGAGCTCTGCCTCCTCATCATCAGGACTGTCACTTTTCTGCCTCAACTTAGCAAAGTGGTGGGTCTGATATCTGGGAATAACAGGAGGCCTGGAGAACAATTTGTCTGTCTGTACTGACTCTCCTCTCCCTTTCTCCCCTGGACTCAAAGCACTGATCTCCTTGCTGTATTTTGGCACCTTCTCTTCACCAAGAGATGAACCTGCAGGCCTACAGATGGTGTGAGGACAGAGACAGGACATAATCTGCCTTGTAGCACAATTTATCCCTTCTGCTGCACCTGCAAGCTCAGAGCACTGATTCTCAGAGCAATCCTTCTGGCTTTTACTGCCCTGTATTTTATGGGGGCGTATCACTGATGTTTGCGTCACCATTTGAGAAATGCTGCTCTTGAGAATCTGAGTGCTTAGAACTTCCTCTGTCTCAGCATTATTCCAATGTGTGGACTACTTTTTTCCTGAAAAATGTTATTTACATGTCTATGTCTGAATTCAGGATGATGGACATAAGGATGCCAGACTTAAAAAATTGTTCCGTGTTTTAAAGAATTTCACAGCTTTCCAGTGACCATTTCTCAATTTTCCCCAAGGAATAATTCAATCTCCTCCTTCTCAGTAATTTTGGAAATAGCAGATGTGCATTCTTCAGTATCAATACCTTTATTTCCATTTGACAATTCTACAAATCTGACAGTAACTGAAAATCATTATCCATTTCAGATTGCTGTTTGCTGTCATTAATGTATCACTTTTGTTCATGCACAGCTTCACTATTCATTTATCTACTATCCATTTCAGTATGAATGTCACAATTCTAGAGTAGTTTACACATAAGCCTGTCACATATACAAGTCAGAGAAGAAAAACCTAAAGAAAAAGTTAAATTTTAGCTCCATTTCTGTCCCAGTCTGGATTTACTGGGCAGAGAGAAGGGCTAGAGGTGCTTTATAAACCTTAGCACTTCCTGGTGAGGTGAACTTGCTTGTATCCTGTGCTAGTAGCTATGCAGCTGGCTCTACCTGTATGGCTTCACCATGCACTTGCACCTCCTTTAGTACATCACTTAATCCATGTTTCCCTATTGCTGACTAAGAGTTTAATATAATTTCTGAAGATTAATGGCTTCTAAAAACGGACTGGTGAGAATGCTCTTCTTCCTCTGGTATTTGTAAATAACCTCAGATACCGAAGGGACTCGTTGCTTTAGAGTGAATAAACAGCAGGGATACTTGATGAACAACAATAGGTAGTGCTGCTTTACTTCAGCAGAGTTTGTCCCTTTTCATGAATGCTTATGTTGCACAAGCAATTGCAGCATTGCACTGCATCAGCACTGTTCCTAATCCTGATTTGGAAACATCAACTGTTAACTTGACAAAGCGTGACACATGGTATGTTGAAGTGTTTTCAGCTGCACTAACACAACAAATTGTAATGGTTCCAGAAGAGCCATTTCAGTTGATTGTGTCAATAAACCACAGCCCACAAAGAAAAAGACATGTGGTCAACCTGAATAAAGCATCATCAAATCACAAATAATAGATTAATTGTCAAAATTTTTGTCCTCATTTTTAGAAAAATAATTTTGCAGGAAAAAGAATCCTGTAATTCCCAGAGCTTTTGTCTGTGATGAATCAGAAGTCTAGCCCTATGACACTTACCAGTTTACAACATTTCCTAATTTCCATATGTAGAGAGTGTGTGACTTTGTTCTTCATAGTTCTGCTCCAAAATGAGGGCTTGTCAGGTGTTCTCAGTTAGGTCAAAATGTAAGCTGCCCATGCAACTGGACTTTATCCAGCTTTTGTGAGACATAGGCCAACTGTTATTTAAGGAAGATTTCTGTATCATTTCCCAGACTAAGTGCCAGCAAACACAACCTTCACATTACTTCTTTTTTTTCTTTCCTCCATTAGTTAGTTCATTGGGAAGAACTACATCTGCTTGATGGTAGTGTGAATTTTCTGCTTTCATAGTTAGTTAGGCTGATGGTACACACAGTGAATTCTAACCTCATTGAGACCATTAAGATTTCAGAGTAAGTAAATCAGGGTACAATCTGACTTAATGAGACTAGCTACTAGGTCATCAATTTTGTGCGTGTGCTGCTTTTTCTGTTGCCCACATACCAGTCAAAACCCACAAGGAGCTATCGTGCTTCCTCAGAGATCACTAACATTAGATAAAGATTGCTGGCCAAGACACTTCAGTGGCTCAGCAAGGATGTGTGTTACTTGTTAAGCACCTGGAACTTGAGTTACTCTGTGGAAGACTGATGACAGTCCCCCAAATTTAAAACCCCCTGAATAACCATAGCAAAATGACCTACAGCAGGAGCTCTGGAGGAAAGAGGTATGCTAGTTTTGAAGACTCATTTCTTTTCACATATTTTCTGTGTTAATTTATACCTTTTTGCATTGTTAAGGCAGCAATTTTTGACTAGGAAGCATGTGAATTTTCTTACTAAGCTACCTCATTTCTTTCTTCTGAAACCATCAGTAGCAAATTATAGTTGGTTATTTGATATCAGAAGTTAAATCCTCTTAACTGCTTATTTCACATACCTGGCAAGTAAAGACACTTATTAGTCACAAATATTTGTGTGCACGTATATGCGCATGCAAACACATAGCTTTTTTTCTTTTACATCATAGTATATGGGGTGAAATGCACTTCAAATGAAAAAAGGTAAGCCAAGTATTTGCAGTTGTACTGAGTGGCAGCAAGTGTAGTATCCAGTTGCTTAACAAAAGGATTTTTCTGTAAAACTAAAGAATTGGATAAGATTAGTTAGTTTATGCTAAAGGCAAATATTATTAAAGAAATGCACAATGCCAAAGAGAAGAATAACTTACACTGTAGACTATCCAAATTTCTCATTTTCCCTGCAAGAGACACTAAAACTGAGGACCCCTGGAATATGCTCACAATTGAAAAAAATGCCTCACAAATCAACTGGGGAATTTACATCCATTCATCTTAATCTGATACTGATACTTCCTCTGGCACACACTTAATACAGAATTGCCCAGAGCTTTTGACCAACTTCAGCCAACAGAAGGGCTCAAATATAAAATCACAGAAGCTGGAGATGAAAGGACTTAGTCACTCAATTTGTTAAACCATTTGCTGTGTTATTTTGGCTCCCTGTAGTATACTGTCAAATACACTTCTGATCATCACTTGGACTTTTGATGTCATTTGGATTCTGAATTACTTTGGCTTCACATACAAATGAATGGATTACACTCATCCATCCATGGGTTATTCATCTGTTCTGTTCAAGAACACTTGTAAGACAAAGCTTTTGCCAAAATTAAATAATTCAAATGTTTCTTGTTTTCTGAGAAACCCCTTCATTTCCAATTACAGGTGCAATTTTCTATATAAAATGAAAAACTTTTTATTCTATTTAACACACACAAGTATGATTTATGAAATGTTACTCAGGTAAGACAAGCTTATTTTACACTTTATTTACTCGGGACAGAACACTGATGGGAGAAATAAATGAGACAGACAGGATGATCCATAGCTGGAGACACGACTTGCTTTATGCCACAGCCAGAGAGGAGCTCTGGGCCTCTATCATTACAGACCATTGACCTCAGAAAAATGAAACACATGTTGGATTGGGCAGTTGGAACAAGCCACACAGAAGGGCCGCTCATGCTGTCATCATCTGTGAGGAGAGGCTGGCTGGTTTTGAAGCATAAAACTGGCTCTAGGCTGAGCACCTGTCTGCCTCTTCTCTCTGAGAGCTGCCTACCATCCCAGTCACTTGTTGCATCGCCCACAGCGTTTTTCTCTCCACTGGCTGGAAAGCAATGCACCTGCAAGACTACAAGATGAGCATGATGGTTTGCCTTAGGTTAAAGGAGACAGCGCAGTGAATATGAATCACTTTTATTGTTTTTTTTCCGCCCCGAGCCAGCCGGGCTGGTAAGATGTCCTCTCCCCCTCGGCTGCCAGGCTCCGCAATACGCCTTTGCCCTGAAGTGACGCGGGCGCCGGTTCCGATGCTCGCGTTCCCCCCCTCTGCGGAGCGGGGACGGGGTCTCACCGTCCTTACAGCCCCGGCTCGCCCCTTCCCCGCGGGAGCGGCTGGAAGGGCAGAGCCGGCCATCGCCCCCTGGCTGAGGCGGCCAGAGGGAGCATCCCCTGCCATCCCCCCCGGCTCCGGGGCCGGCGCCCAGCCGCGCGGCGGGCAGGGCGAGGCCGGGGCCCCTCGCCGCCGCCTGATGTAGCGCAGTTTCCCCGACCGCGGTACCGACGCTGCCCTTGCCGCGGCTCCCCAGGGCCAGGACTCGCAGGGACCGGGGAGAGGGGCTGCCGAGCGGACCAGGGCGGCGGCTCCGCCGGCCCCCGTTAGCGCAGGGTACGGGCAGCCGCCACCCCAGCACCGTGAGGGAAGGAGAGAAGGAGGGAGGGAGGGGCGCGGAGGGCGGCGCGTCCCGGCCGGTCCCCCCCCACCGCCGCCGCCGCCGCCTCCTCCTCCTCCACCTGCTGCCGCTGCGCCAGTCGTCGGCTGGGGGGAGCCGCCCGCCCGCTCGTCCCCGCGGGGCCGCTTTGTGCTGCTGCTGCTCCAGAGCTGCCTCAGCTAGGCGCCGGCTGCGTCACGGCCCCGGCGCTGCGGCCGCCCAGAGCCACCCGCGGAGGGAGAGCCGCCGCCTCGCCCCCCGCTCCGCCATCGCTGCGCGGGCCGCGGCGAACGACGCCCCCCGAGGAAGGGCCGGGAGCCGCGGCGGTGAGTGGCGGCCGCGCTGCCCCTGCCCCGGGGAGGGGAGACCGGGAGAAAGGAGCGGGGAGCCCTCCGGCTCGGCACGGGCAGGGGAGGGGGCGCGGGGAGCCGAGGGGAGGGGGCTCCGGAGCTCTGCGCATCCCGCGGGCTGCGGGGCGATGCCGCACCGGGCCGCGCAGGCAGCATCGCTCGCATCGGGCTGACGTGCCGCGGATTTTGGGGTGCTTTTTTGTGTGCGTGATGGTGGGTTTTTTTGTTTGTTTTGTTTATTTTTTTAATTTTTTTTTAACTTCGGTAGTAGAAGCTTTGACCATCGTTCTTACTTCGCAGAACGCTAAAGCCTAACCCAGTCACAGCGACGAAGGCGTAATTTTTTTTTTTAATTTTATTTTTTGGCCATAAGGTATTTCTGACCCGCCGGGGAAAGGTCTGGTTTGTGATATTTTGCGTTTCTGTGCGTGTGTGTCCGTGTGTGCCAGCAGAAAATCCCTCTATCCTGGAAGAATGGTGAAACTGGGGAATAATTTCAGCGAGAAGAGCACAAAGCAGCCCCTTTTGGAGGATGGATTTGACACCATCCCCCTGATCACACCCCTGGATGTCAATCAGCTCCAGTTCCCACCTCCTGATAAGGTACAGTAGGCTTTAGTTTCCACCCTGGAGAATCACACCCAAATCACAGGCAAACAACAAAAGAATAGCTTATGTGTAACGAGCAGCTTAGAAACGGCGAGAAATTTGGGGTGCCTTAAAGCATGCTAGTTCCCTCTGGGAAAAAAAAAACCAAACAGTTAAACTCATGAAAATCCAGTAATAGTGATTTGCATTAAAAATCAGTGCAGAATGTTAGCAGTAAGCATGTAGATTTCAATGTTTTGTATGAAACATGTAGACATATAAATGCAAGCTTCTCTATGCTGTATTGTCATAGCCCTTCCTATTCTGCATCTTTCTTTTTTTATTATTATTTGTAAGGTATTGTGTATTCTGTGTGAACGATGTGAATTTTCTCTGTCCAGAAAATATCTCTCTGTTGGGGGGATAAAGCCCTGCTTTATTTCTCTGCGACATGGGGACAGGCAGACTGGCAACAGAGCTCTTCCATCTTCCTTCTGTACTTCAGTAGGAAACTAATGCTAACCCCAGACAAGCTGAAATAGATGAGAATAGGCCATTGAGTTTTTTCCATGGCAATTTATTTGGTTCAAAAACCTCCAAATAGGTGATTCAGATCCTCTGTAGTTGGAAGGGGACAGTCCAATGAGTGCTTACAGGTTGGAAGAGAAGTGTGCTTCCTGCATTCCTTATTATATTGCTTAATTATTAAGGATTTAATTTTAAAGCTTTAGGAAGGTGATGTGATAGCCTGTAAATATGTTTATTGTCCTCACAATAAAGAATACAGTAAGTGTTACTGAATGTAAGGCACACAGTAGTAGGATAACCTTTTCAGGTTTTTCAGCATCCTGTTTTAATAGGATACCTACTTATACATTTCTCACATGCATCTGGCAAAAAAAGCTTTGTGGTCTTCATACAGTTTTTATTTTTGGCCTTCCACACATTCAATTCTACTTCTAGTTAAACTGATATTTACAGAATATATACATTACATACATACATATACATACAAACAGATATATACATTCCTCAAAGCTCAAAAAGATTCAGATAATAGTATCTTAGGGTAAAGAATTTTAGCTTGTAAAATTTTCTTTGGTAGAGTGTTGCTTGTAGGCAATACAAATAAATTTTTGACCTCCATTTTATTTGCTATCAACACCATTCTGTGTTGTGTGTGGTGACCAGTTGGCAGGCATAAATGCAATAAGCCATAACAGCTGTTGGAGAGCCTGAGGGTCCATTTTATGCCCTCAGTTACATGGGTGTAAATCTTGTAACTGAGGACAAAATCGCACCCTAAGGCTTTAAAACAAGTTAAGTCTTACAGTGTCTGATATGCCTGCCAACTGGTGACTGGATATAACCGATTACCAAGGACCAGTGTCCAAAGGATTTCATTATGTTCCTGCTCTGCTAAGCAGAAGTCTGAACTAGGGATCTGTATGGTAATAGGTTTAACGTGAGCAGAGCCTCTGTAGAGAGCTCAGGAGGTTCTGTGCCGGCCCTATGGCTCCTACTAGAATGGGGCACAACTCCTCCCACCTTTAATGGCATTTGCCTTGAGTAAAAGCAAATGTCCAGCTAGCCTAAAAGCTGAAATAAGGAAATATTTGATTGGTTCTTCTACTCTCCACTGTCTAATTGTATATTAGTTTTTCTTTCCTTTTGCAAACATAGAGGGGAAAAATTAAAGCCATGAATTTATTGGTCCTGCTGGTTTCCTTCTGTAAGTGGTTAGTCATGTCATGTCAGTGTCTCTTTACTGGTACAGACTCAAAGGCAGGAGCAGAGCAACTGATGTGAAAAGAAGAAAAAGTATTAAGGAAAGATTGGCACACAGATCAAATTCTGAAGTATGCAGACACTCATGTATAATGAATAGGAGTACATACTTCATATATCTATGCTTATTATTCACTTACAAGGCTCCAGTATGGCAGTGAAGCATAACTTCTTGAAAAGTAGTGACTACAGTGCTAAGGATTTGATGATTTTGACAGTTTCTAAATTAAAGGGGTGAAGTGATTTAAATTCATATTCAGATATGTTAAACAAAAGAAGACATTACATAACCAAGCAGTTAGAACTGTACATTCAGTGTCAGCTGAATGTGATTTGAGTTGCCTGAGATTACACAACATAAAGGGGGGAGGAATGTAAGTAAAATGTTAAAAAGCGTTTCAGAACTCTTCAGGCACTTTCATGGTGCTGTTGGGCAGTTATAAAGTTAAAATGGGTAATAACTACTATCTTAGTAATTATAGCTGAAAATAGGTAAAGAAGTTTCTAAACCTCTGTCCTGCACAAATACGTGTAATGCTGTCAAAGTGTCTAATAAGCTTTATGGTACTGACTCTAGTGCAGTTACACATTCTAGGTACCATTCAAGGAAGTGAGAAGAGGGGAACCCAAAGCTTGTCATTTCAATGTCTGGCTACCTGTGAGTGTCATAATCTTAATTTCGGAGAGATGGAAAGAGACTATTTACAAGGGCATGTAGTGACAGGACAAGGGGGAATGGCTTCAAACTGAGTGTAGGTCTAGTTTAGATATTAGGAAGAAGGTCCTTACTTTAAGGGTGGTGCAGCTCTGGAACAGGTTGCCCAGAGAAGCTCTGGATGCCCCATCCCTGGAAGTGTTCAAGGCCAGGCTGGAGGGAGCTCTGAGGAACCTGGTCTAGTGGAAGGTGTCCCTGCCCTTGGAATTAGATCATCTTTAAGGTCTCTTCCAACCCAGGCCATTCTATGATTCTATGATAATGTATTTGCTATTAATACCACGGGCTGTGCTAAAGATAGAATTTGATTCTAAAAATCTAAGAGTAGGTATTTATTCCTTGGAACAACAGAGAAAATTGAAAAAATCATAATAGCACTGTCAGTATGATGAACTGCACCCTATCTCGAGAATGATACTTAGAAAAAGATCCTGAAAAATGCAGAAGACAAAAATGAGGCAAATAGGTTAGGTATGAGAAAATTTTGTACAATTAGAATGCCTAGGAGAATAGTAGAGATTAGACTGACGTGGTGATATTTTGGGAATACAGGTAAGGTGCTAAATGGTGCAGCTTGGGGCAGTAGTTCATAGTAAGGGATAAAATAAAGTTGAAGAGCCTTGAGTGTTTGAAGCAATCTCATTAACACAAGGCTTTGCGTGCATCTTGGTGCTTGCAGCTGATAAATCAGAAATTAGATGTTAAAAATAAGAGTGCCAAAGGCCATAGTCTGTCACATAGTGAATAGCAACTAGATGGGTCATTTTATTTTTTTAAACTCAAGATCCTGCCATCAAAGAACATGGCATCTTGCAGGATTTCTGTGGGCCCTCTTCAGTAATTTTCTCCTACTGGTCTCCAGTTTGAAATCCCATTAGTGGGATTTCCTGAAGCAGGTGGAGGTGACTGTTTTCAGACTATACAAAGTGAGAAGGACCATGATTTGGATTTGACCTACGCTTGCCTAGTACAGGAGCACAGTATCACCACAGATGAAAAAACTGGAAGTTTGCGAAACTGTTGTATAACAAGTCTTCCTGTAGGTCCATCAAGATCACTTCAAGAGATAACTTTGTTAATGATTGATATGCCAGAAAAATAAATAATAATTTACAGCTTTCAAAGAATAATTACTTAAAGGGCAGGGGGGGATATTTTGCTAGATGTCCTTGTAGGTAAAAGAAGAGTTAAAGAATAATTAAAGTTTCTGTGGCTAGTTTCAGCTGACAGGTTTTTTTATTTTTTTCTTAAAGGTTGTGGTCAAAACAAAAACAGAATATGAACCTGATCGCAAGAAGGGAAAGTTCCGTACTCCTAAAATAGCTGAATTCACAATCAGCATCACTGAAGGGGTTTCAGAAAGATTTAAGGTAAGCAGTGCTGTCTGAAGATGTTAATAACTCAGTTGTGTTCACAGAGGTGCTTAAAATCAATTGCTGATTGTAGTCAGAACTGGCTGTAACAGAGTGCCTGTTGTGGGTATAGCTGGACATGAGAAAAGTAAATTCAATGTTATAATAGTTCAGTATTTAACAATTAGAAACAAAATCAAATCTTGAAGCATTATTGCTTGTAGTCCCTCACCGGCAGATGAATTCAGAAGGCGTTGCTGTCAATGTGTGGGTTTCAGAACATGGCTGGCCAGGGTGTCTGTGGGCTGCACACAGGTAGTGCTCATGGCACGGATAGAACTCCTCTTTGTGCTTAAGGACAAGAACCACAAGAACATTTATTTTCTTTTTGGCTTCTTATTTATCACTGTGGCCAAACCATTCTCTTAAAAGCACTGTCATAGTCCATTACGTATTTTCTATAGTTGAGCATATGACTTGGCAGCTCAGGGATATATACCAGAGCTCTTTGCTGTCAGTTTTCCTGGTCCAATTTAATCGTAAAGCTTGGTGACGACTCTTACTGTCAGATGGTAGTTCACTAAGAATCTGACTCAGATTTACTCTTTAGTGTCCCTTTTGCTTCCTTCAGTAGTCCCATAGGAAACCTGAGAGCTTAACTGGTGCAAGGATTGAATTTTCCCGTTCTCACTGGAGATAGGTTTTCCTGCTCTGTGTAAGTAAAGCGAAACAGGAAAGTTGGTACTTCAACTCATGCTTCCCTACTTGTTCTTTTAACAAAGGAAGACTGCAGCTTTTCAGTGCTTTTAATTGGCATCTTACCCAAGGATGCCAAAGCATTTTTAAACAGTAGGCAACCACACTCTTCCCTGCGCAAGTACAAATATATTTGGAAAGCCTATCATTTAGTATGAGAGAGAAATACAGAGCTTCAGTAGAGATGTGGATTCTCTTTATATTGCATGCTTCTGAACTCTGCATGATAGGAGATTTTAGGGCACACCAGAGATTCTGGTTTTGTTGTGCCTGAGCAGTGGTTCTAAAAGCTGCCCAGGCCCAAGCTGACCTTCAAAAGTGTATATACAGCTCTCAGTGAAATCAGAGCATGCTAAACAAACAAAGTGAAGGCTCAGGGAGGGATTAGAATATATAGGAAAGGAACTTGGCAGAGTGTTGCCACAGCAAATGTTTTAAGTGCCAGTTACCTGGTGGAGTTGTCAGCCACACAGTGAAGCATGTAGGTTCCCAGTAAGCTATATGGGGAACCACCCTGGATAGCTAAGAAGAAATGATATGGGGTGTGGGGTTTTACTAAGCAGGTAAGAAACTTATTTCCAGTTTTTTGTATTCCCTGATTTGGGGCAAGGATGTCCTATCCCTCAGGGAAAATGCTATATTCTGACTAACATCCTCTTTTTGTCCTCCTGGCACCATAGTACCACTCAGTCCTTGAGAGTAATCCCCTTCCTGTCAGGCGAGGGTTGGGAAAATGCAATTAGACAGCTCAGAACAAGGGGAACTTACATCTGGCTGTCTTTGTGTGTGTCCTGGTCACACTAAGGTGACTGGAAAATGCTTACTATGTTGTAGAAGAGAAAGGGGAGAAAGTTTGAGTACCCTGCTAGGACTTTGGTTCCAAGCAGCTGAGCAGAATCTATACCTGATGAATTTTGCACTTATGCTTTAGCTGTAGGGACTAAGGGGTTTCATTGCTGGAACATTAAGATATCTTACTCACATCTAAGTGGTTTGCACATCCCTATGTAGATCTGTTTTTTTCTGTCTTTGTTGGGAGAGCTGAGCAAATGAGACCTTACTGAACAACAAATAAATAAAAAAGCTTATCATGCTGTTGGGTAGACTTTTCTAATATATATAGCTGGATATAGTTAGAAGCCTGAGCATCTTTGCATTGCATTTTTATATACTTTTGGATGGCATACTTAAGTAAAATATCCTTTAGATACTACTTTATGATGATCGTTCTGGGATTAATCTCATACTACGGGGTTGCTAGGTTTTGCTGCTAGGTAACTACTGCATCAGAGGGAGGTTTCAGTAAGATTTGGTATCTCTTGGGAATTGCAGGGTGATTCACACTGTGGCTGTAAGTCTAGGCTTCTAAAGAAGAGTGGGGGTTGATCAATTAGGAAAATTGTGGTTCAGTTAATTGAAAACAATGTTCATGCAGAACATTCAGGTCCTAAAAACGTCCCTTAATCTCCATATGGCAAGTTTTAGAATTGAATTATGCTGCTTGAAACATTTTAAAGAGAACTGACTGGTTCTCCAGCAGGGATGACTGTCATATTCACCACTCCCAGTAGTAAATATTAGATGAATAATTTATGACATTTCATAAATATGTAGATGAAAAGTACCGATTGTGTGAGGTTTTCTCCTGGGTCCTTATTAATTGTGAATCATCATGTCAACTGCTGATGTTGATTCTGAGAGAGCAAAAAGATATTTGTCTGAAAATTAAATATTTGCTATAATTATGAAATGCATTATTTAACTGGTGAGATATTGACTTTGGCTCATGTTCATGAAAAGTTTCAGATGCTGTTTTAATGACTTCAATATTGTACATCACCGATGCACAAGCCTGCCACAAGACACAGCCCAAATGTTATGCTAAAAATAAAGCAAGTCAGTCAGTCATATTTACAAATAATTCACATGTGTATTCTAGGATGTACTTCTTAAATAAGGACAAAGCAGATTGCAGTTTTGGGATTCAGCAGTGCAGATCATCTAAAGCTGTTCTTCTTGAGAAGTTATACATTATAACAAATGAAGCAACTGCAGCATGTGCATATGTCATGTAGATGGTGTTTTAGCACCTGGGTGAATAATCAATTACAAAATGTATTTTCTGCATTCAATCCACATTACCACAGTTATTACAACAGAGCTGAGAATGTGTACAAAGAAAACTGCAAGTATAATTTTCTTCTATGAAGCCACATTCTGAATTCAAATCAGAATATCTCAGAAGAATGTGAAGATTTCCTGATTATGGGAACCCTGTTGTCTTAATTTAGTTTTATGGCACTAACTAGACTAAGAAAGATGTGATTTGTCACTGAAGATTAGTTGCCATTGAGACGTAGAAGTCTTGCTTTTGTTCTTTGAAAGTGTAGGCTAATGTGGGGAGTTGGTTCTTCGCAACTGGAAAGCAACTTCGAACGAGGGAGATTTTTCCCTCCTGTAAATTGACTCCTGTACAGAGTAACACAACAAGGCTGGAAATGTCATTGCAAAGGACCCTTGTGAATCAAGACACTGGAGGAAGCTATGAGAGAAGAAAATTGATGGTGTGAGTTACCCAAGGCCAAACCTTTGCTTCCCCTAGAAGGCAGAAGAGTGTTCTTACAACCTCCAGTTGGATTTTGTAGTGGGATGTCTGTTCTGGCACCCATTGAATTGGGCTACAGTTGATGGTTATGCACAAACACACCAATTTAAAAAAATGTCTGTTGTAGCAATGCATGACATTTTTTTTCTGTCTTTGGGAAAATCTCAATAAAGAAGATTCAGAGGTATTTTGAAAGCAAACACGTTTCCCTATAAACTTCAAGCCCTTAAATAAACCCAAGCTGTAGTATGCCTTCAGCCTTTGGTTCTGTTGAAAGGCAGTTCAGTTCTTCAGACTTTATCCTTGACATCTCTACATACATCTAACTGCAGAGCCAAAGCCTGAAGCTTATTTCTGTGGTAAGACCATATGGTGCAAGCCGTGTACTATCAAGCAGCAAGCAGTTGTTGAAATGTCTGCATGAGGTTATGGAAGAGGAATTCAGACTGCTTTCAGGATCAGTTCTTGCATTTTTACCTGGTCATTTTAAGACTGCAAAGATGTCTCCAACATATATCTAACTATTCAGTTTTTTTTTCTACCTTAAAAGGGGCATCCTTTAAGCATATTTCTGCCTCAGGACTTTTGTACCTCTTCTTAGTAATGCCAACAATTATTATTGCTGCAAAAATAATCAGAGACAAGGAAGATAGATCTCTCTTGCTGTGTGATTACTTTGTGTGTTGAGTAGCTCTTTGCTCCCACATTAAAAGTCTGTTAGGTGCATGAGATGTCTCCTGTACAGGATATCACTTCCTTAAGTACGTTGTGTGTCTGTCACTTTGGCTGGAAGAGTGACAGGTACTTACTGTCAGGAGTAGTTCTGTTTCTTCAGTAGAACTGCTCACGGGATTAAAGTTGTTCACAAGTATAAGCGTTTGGCAGGCTTTGAATTTTTCCTTTATTGCTTAAAATAAGAAAAATAAAGGAGGTTCTTTTTTCAATGTAACTACTATTTTAAAACAATTGATGTAAAGGCACTGCATGGCAACTGTCACTTTTTTTTTTCCTTAAATATTTGATACTCTCTGATATGGCATTGACAATCTTCCTGCTAAATTTTTGTTTGAAAGGAATTTTTACAGTCAGAGCTGGAAGATTTAAATAAAGTGGATGCCTAACAGTGGCTTCCCTGTTATTAGTCAGATCTCCTATGCTGTTGTCTCTATTAGAAATCATTTTATTGGAAGAGAACCAGTGACATTGACAAAGATGTTTTGGATCTTTGCAGATATATCACTTAAATAGCCTTTCCTCTTCTGTTGTAACCTTAAGCAGCCTTTATCCTGGCCTCAGTAATATCTTCCGGGTTTGTATGTGAAGGTAATATGATTCTTATCTTGGTGCCACAGGGTTTCTTGAACTGCTTCCTCAGATCTCTGTAGTTAAGAAACTAATACAGAGTGCCATGTGATGGAAGCTGATGGGAACATTGTCATGAACAGCTGAGTTAAGCCACAGTCCTAGGAACTCAAGGCCACTGCTTTGTTAACTTGTTTTTGTCTAACAGTATGTCCCTCAGGTTTCATTAATCAACTCCCTTCCAGACTGGTCCTGTTGCCTTGCACTGTTGCTGTTAATAAGTGCTGATTCTGTAGCTTCTTTTCTGTTACTGTCCTCATGAATCTATCTGCCTTTCTTGCTGCTACTCCCAGTC